AAAGTTTTCTCTGCTTTATAAATGTCCCATTGCATTTATGTCTATGGCATTGATGCCTTAATATTATCTTAACTCCTTTCACTACATCACTGTAAGCCTCATATCGGACTATTTTCTTCTACTTGTCCTTTGCATAGGTTTGTTATAGCAAAGCAAACTTAGAATTGCTCCATAAATTCCAACTGTTATCATATGGCTGATTCCCAGTTTACAATCTCTAAAAATGACCTCTCTGCTAAGTAACATACTTCTCTGACCAGCTTCCAGTTTAGCAACTCTGCTTGAAAAAAATCTGTTTCCCACTTGCTCACCCTACAACCACTCACAACATACACTTATACTCTCATATTCAGCAGTTCTAAACAATTCCTTCTCTCCATACATCTCAACTCTCCCTTCATCTCTTATCCTGAAAAAGATTTACAACAAATTCAAGGGAAGGCCATTTTCTATTTTGGCTATGTATCACCATCTTCAGGATTTTGAAATCTTGCCATTAATTTGGGCTTCCCCTTCCCTTCCTCAACCTACACAGCTCTGTCCATTTGGCCTCAGAATGGTATTTAATGTGTTTTATCTCTTTTCCATTTCCAATGGCCCCACTTTAATTCAGGTTCTGTTTTACCCAGCTACAGAGATATCGTCTTAAAATCTAGATCATGTCAAAACATAAGTGGCCCGGGGATTTAGCTCAGTGGCACTGTGCCTGCCTCACAAGCTCAAGGTCCTGAGTTCAATCCCCGGTACCTCAAAAAAAATTCCTTATAGTTCATAGTTATTGCCAAAATAAAGTCCAAATCCCTGGCCAGGTATTTAAGATCTTGGGGCATGAGGTATCACCTAGCGGTAGAGGAAGACCTTCGGTCCATCTCCAACACCACCAACCCCTCCAAGAAGCAAAACACCCCCCTGCATCCAGTGACAAGTGAAAATGGGGTTTGCCTTTTAGTGTAAAGGTACTGGGGAGCATCAAAGGTTTTTAAGCTGGTGAGTGCTACCTAACTTTAAAGGAAGCAAAAAACAAAACAAAACAAAGAAACCTCATGAAAGAATTTAAGGTAAGATTACAAAATTATGACATAGTACTGTCATAAAGTGTCTTCAAGACAAGAAAGAAGTGAGGTGGGAGTCAACAGCTACGTTAAATTGTAAAAAGAGGTAAAAAATAAAACCGGAACAGCGTCCAGTGAAGGCTGATACATGGCATATTTAAAGCCTCTTAAAGCGTAGCCCCTTAAATTATGCCATTTGTTTTTTAGCAGTAAATCCACACTTCTTAGCTTCTCCATAGCATGCAAATGTGCAACCTTCCTTTAAGTCCCTGAGCAAAACTTTGCAACAGCTTCCTTTGTCTATGGAATTAAAAGTATAAATTCCTCAGCTTGCTATTCTCAGCTGTTTACAACATGACCCAAAACAATGTTCTCTTTTCCAGCTGTTCCACTAAAGATATTCAGTTTTGCTTTCAACTAAATTTCTTCCTGCTCTCCAAAAACACTAGGCATTTTTCAATTTCATGTTTTTATTTGTATCCTAATTATAGCAATTAATTCTGCTTCATGTAATAATTATTTGTATAACTATAATTTCAAAATCTCAGAATCATAAAGAACTTCAGAAATCATTTTTCTTAAAAGAATTTTGTCAGTTTTTCCATTAGTTTGTGATAGATGAAAAAAGTAATACTTTTGTGACTTTTCCATTTATTTGACTCAAAGGATTATCCTTAGAGAATATAGCCTGATTTTTGTTTTTGGTGTAAAAC